CCCCGCCCTTTCAGGCACCTTCTGCTGTCTAAATGTGTTGGGACAGCTAAGTAGTGCTGTCATTCCTCCAAGGATGGCCACTGATGGCATTGGGCTGGGCAGTGTTTCTCAACCTTGGCAACTTTAAGATGTGCAGATTTCAACTCCCAGAATTCCCCAGCCAGGAATTCTGGGTGTTGAAGTCCACACATCTTCAAGTGGCCAAGATTGAGAAACACTGGGGTAGGGACTAGGGGCACCTTAAATCCGGACGTCCAGAAAGAGACGCGTGCATCAACTGTGTTGGCACGATATGCTCATCTGTATTAACCTAATCATGGTTTATTGAGTTAATCCACTTCCCTGGGCTTAAACGGTATACGGAGCCGTCAACTAACCACAGCCCACTAAGCTGAACTGCATATCCTGTGAACGCTCAGCCTTGCAATGCGGTTTCTTGGGATGAAAGTTTCTCTGCGCCCAGTCAGTTAGTTCAGGGACCACCAGGTTAGTTCTTAACCTGATGCGCCCCCTAAGACGCCCCCTCCCCGTTCCCCTCACCCCAGGCAAGGCTCCCGGGCTCTCCTGCGCCGCTCTCTTGACCACGTCTCCGCCTTGCCCCGCTGGCCCTGCGCTTGGGCACAAGCCGAGGGGCTCAGCCTGGCTGCGGAGGTCTCGGACTGGCTCCCTGCAGAGCATCTCAAGCGACTGGGAGGCGTCGCTCGCTTTGCCTTCGCCTTCACCGGCAACCTCACCGACGCTTTCGAAAACGAGCGAGCGAGCCTCACAGAGACAAACAAAGGGGGAGCATTAATCGCTTCCTTCTTACGACGGCGTTGACCCACAACGGCTCAGGTAAGCCCCCCCCCCTTTTCCTTTTGCCCAGTGAAGAAGCCAAGCGAGTCCAGTCGGCGGAAAACGGTTCCCCTCGCATTTCTTTTGATCTCACGCCGCGGGATACACCTTGGACCGCCCCGGGGCCCGGTTACCTAGACGACGTTGTCAGCAACCTTCCATCCGAACGCGCGGACGTTCTGAACCCGCCCTCTCCGCCAGCCTAAGCCAATTGCGCGGTTCCTCTCAAACTGCTGTGGGTGACGTCATGGACGGTGAGTTCCCCCCTCCCTCCCGTCTTCTCCCTCCCCCTCCTGCGGGCTGTCCCCGTTTGGCTGAGGAGCAGCAGCAATAATAGCCAGAAGAAGCGGCGGCGGCGGCGGCGGCGG